ATATCCTCTTAATTCGAGTGGAATACTCGGTGAATTTTCTTCAAATCTTTACGGTTTCTTGTGATGGTCGTGAATATATCCGAACAGAAAATTCTAAGATTCAAAATATATCTTTTTACTCATCAGATTCATAGCTAGATTTTTCTTTAAGAAAAATATGAAGATGTCTCCAAATATAGCGAAAACCTACGTTTAAATAACAATGCAAGCACTTACAAAACATTAAAAAAAAATTCTTAATCTGCATATAGAAAATTTTACTAAGCCGAATTAAATGATTTTTCTTAAATTTTCGGCAGTATTTCAAAAGTTTTTAAATTGAGAATACTGAGTATATATTAAAAGATAATAATTTTTACCAAAAAAGTGTATATTTACTGGTATATAAGTGATGCAAATAGAGGAAATAAGAGATCTTAGCGAGATTGAAGCTACTCTGTTTAGAACTTCTATTTATTTAAAAAAAAATATCAATAATGGAGTTTATAATTACAATGAAAAAAGAGCAGTACCTCTAAAACAAGTCTATTACAAAATTACACACTATATAAATTTCAGTATTTTTTTTTATAATTCAAACGTGAATAGAAAAATTTAAGCTAAAAGATCACCGATACTTTTGATTTTGTTAAGAAGCAATGTAGAAATGTACTACTAATTTTTTTTTTTTCTGAATCAAAAACATTTTTTTAACAAATGAAAACAGTTAATTGTTAATTCTGAAATGCAGACTAGATATAAAAATAATTTACTTTCACATTCAATGCATATATACGAAAGTGACTTAATTCACAATAAAATTGCTAAAGTTTTATATGATGATCAGTGGCGCACACAGGGGAGGGGTCCAGGGGGTTCGGACCCCCCACCCCTAAGCCCTTGATTTTTTTCCGATTGATTATAATTCTAAGTATATAGTACGTAAAATTTAATTATTTCTTATTAATGATTAATTTTATTAATTAATGCTAATTATTTATTCAATAATTAGTTTTTTACTGTGTTCTGTTCCCGAAAATCGACAAAATCAAAAGGAACATGATACAAGATCGGTGAACTTTCGATCCCGGACCCCCCTGAAAAATTCCTGTGTGCGCTACTGTTCGATACCATCCATTTTATTATTCATTTCACCATTAGAATGTGTGTCCAAATAACAGTGTATACTTTTCATGACGTTCTTCATTTCGGATGATCTTGGAACAG